TCGCAGTCACGGCGCCTCCAACCTTGAACGCGAACGTCGATGGCCATCTCGCCTGGTGGCCTGGGAGCCCGTCCATCCCATCGCCGACAGATCATCCCCTCGTTAACGTAGATGGCACGGCCTCTGAGCGGTATGTTGCCTACTCCTGATGCTCTGAAAAGGTTCGTCTTCGTCATTGATGGTCCTTCGGTTACTGTGCATTTTGACGCCGTTTCATTTCCGTCGCGCCCACACATTCCAGACAAGCCGCACGGTGACAGTGATTCAGGCTATCTCACGCTCGAGAAGTGCGTAGTCTCTGAAACAGCGCAGAACCGGCTCGGAAGGGTAGTTGTCCAGCCATACCTGCCTTTATTGATGATCAAAGTCCTTCCGGCCTCTCCAGAGTGTCTCTTAAAAGGGGTTGAACACAACAATTCGACTCTCGCACAGCTTCGTTCACCTGCACGCCGCTAGGATGGGCGATGCCTTACTTGGAGCTCATCCTGATCTTTTCCGGGCTATGCAAGGCTTGAGCCTTCGCGATGCAAGAGAACCAGCAGAGACTTCTGGAGACGCCGACCGGGATGCCCACTATAGGACATATATGGTGCGTGTCGTCCCACACATATTCTGTTCTCACAGCTCATCATCTCCCAGGCCTCTGCCTTTACATATGCATGTGTGGACGAAGACTCTGCGACCTGGAGCGACTACTGTCTATCGACGGAAGCGGAGCAGAGCTCTCTCTCGTCCAATGGATCGGATGCGCCGTGTATATCCATTTGTGACAGCGACGATGGCGAAGATCTTCTCAACGATGCTGTGTACGCGGCACTCCCGGGTTTAACCGATCTTTACGCGCGCCCTTCCGACCAGCTATCTGCCAATGCAGATGTATGGCGCTGCCCGGTCGAGCGATGCAAGAAGACCATCCGCCCATTCAATCTCACTCAGCAGTAGCGCGAGGTGGTTTTGGCGCTTTCCGGTGATCCCGATGCCATGCTGGTGCAGAGTGGCAATGGGAGATTCCGTCTTAGTCGTCAAGATCCCTGGAAATTTCTACGCTACATCGACGCTATCGCCTGGGACCATATCTATTGGCACCTGCATAGAGCACACATCAAATTTTATTACCCGCATCCCGAGAGACCGTATAAGGTACGCATTCGACCACGAAACACCGGCATGTCATTCACTGTTCATCAGGAACTTCCTGGCTGGTGGTGGAACGATGCGTTATTGGTGCGCGACCAGGCGCTGTTGCACAAAGTGAAGAAGCTTGAAGACGACGCTCGTCAGGACAGGCGCCAGTGGATGATCACCAAGGCAGTCGACTCCGCTCAACGGAAGGTCCGGCGCGCGTGCGCACGCCTTACGCGCATGCGCCTTAACGCTTTGCAGGCCAGGCGACAACTCGTCTCTAACATGTTCGACCATGGCCGTGGTATACTTGACGTTGGTCGTGCGGTATTGGCCTTGGTACGTCGGCAAGCCGACGATCCTCGACAGGAGTTGTATCTGAGGGAGATTCTGTACTACCAAGCTGTAGCGATGGAGTGGGCGGATGGGCACTCCATGTGGTCATGAGGCTGTACTTAAACTACGTTCTTCTCTGAAGGGTCCGGAGCTAGAGACTAGTTCATCCCTCTAGATCAGACTCTCCAGATGACACCAGCAGTCCAGATTGTGTGAGATCATGGAAAATAGGTTCAAACTTTTGCTATACCGCTCTGAAGCTCTAGAGCTGATGCACATGAGAGCTGATGCACATGGTTCGCATAGATCATTGGCTGGTTCTCAGATGTTTACATAAGCTCAGAAGAAATGACCGAGTACCATCTGATGATCGTGCTCGATATGGACGAGCGGGCGCGACGTACTTTGCGACACACGCGGCAAAACACGTGGTCGCGTCAGCCGAAAACGCGGCTTGTGGCCGCCGCGCCCGCGTCTTGCCTCCTCCCTCCTTCCCCTCCTTTGGGCGCCACGATGGGCCCCGTACAATAGCCTCGTACTTTTAGTACACGATAGGGACAGAGGGATGGGTGGGACAGACGTAAGGGAGCGCAGAAGGTCCGGGGAATGCGGGCCCGCCGTGACTTATCCTGGATGGTAATCTTGATTCTAACTCGAACTTTGGCAAAACTGGACCGCCATATGACCCGGAGGGAACAGGCCTTTCGTTCCCTGTTTCGAGCTCTCACGACCTTGTACCTCGAAGTCTCAGGTGGGAGTACTCAACGCGTGCGTGCAGCGTGCATCTTTCTCATGAAGGAATGAAACTTTGATTCTCCACCTATAAAGCGTCCATGGCATCAGCGCTACTCTACCCGTCTACATCCCGCCGTGCGCGTCATCATGGAGCCCTTTGATGATGGCCTTGACGACAACGAACAGGACGAAGCACCCGTCTTCAGCTCTCACTCGCCTAAGTCCGAAGGTGCCCATTCCCCCTTCGCACCCGATGATGCGGACTCATGGGCCGTCATCGTGAGCACGGACATCGACGACTGCGGTGGTGTCTGAACTGACTTCCATTAGTCTGATATTGCCCTGAGACACATCCATCGAGTATCAACGACGGCCATGCACCCGCAAGATGCCGAGTGTGCCAAACTCACATGGCCCCCAAATTTGCCTCGGTTTGAGGCGCCTGTGCCCGGCGTGCTAGCTTCCACACGTCGTGTTACGTTGGTCAACGAAGATGCCCACATTCCACCGGACTTTCGTCACCCGCCTACAGCGCCCTACATCTTGCAAGCGATTGTAGAGCTTTATCCGGCACTCGCCAAACGACCTTCGCACACGTATCTTCGGTTTTCACGAACATGGAGCTGCCCTCTCGCCGAATGCGCCTATCTGGAGGACCTTGCATGCCTATCTCATGCGGCTGGCGAGGCTGTATGTCGGGTAGTAGCTACTACCTCAAAACCCCCCTTCCACGTGGACGACGATTGTGTTTCCAGCTTTGTTCGAATCGTCAGCGGAAGGTATCGCGCACGTCGCGACTTCATTGAGGATGTTGTCGATATCATCGGTCTGCGTCACTTCGAATCGCACTTGAGTGACGTGGGGCTCCGTTGCATCATTCGTGGCCATGCGCCAGGCGGTCAGGTGTGTTGCTCAGCTTGCATGGAGAACTATATGTTGTCGCTGAGAAACATATAGATCTCATTCATATGGGAGAATGTCGATTTATCTTCCGTATTGCAGTCCAACACTGTCGACGGCTTGCGGGCCCGTCAACATGAGGAGAGAGCGCGCCTGTCCATGCAAAAGTCACTCTGTCTCCAGGCTCGTCGATGGGCTCACGAAGCTCGCTTTCGGGAGTTTGGAGAGCTTGAGATGCAGCAACGCAGCGCTCGTTGGGCCCAGCACGACTTTGTCAGGACGCTGGCATTGGACAATATCCTAGCCGGCCCCGGAGAATCCTTCAGCGGGGTTCGAGTCTTGACACCCGCCCAATCATCAGCAGTAGTGGAAGCCGGTCGCCTACTACACAACGAGGTCTATGCATCCTTGAGCGCTCGTGAGCTCGAGCACCAGGCCACAGCGCTTCGTCTAGAGCTCGCGGAGGAAGTGATACAGGATTGGGAGCGTGGCAACGGATGGCTTCGTATCCAGGATCACGACGCATGAGAGCCACGACGTAGTACGCCAGTTATGAAGTACCGGGCAGCGTTGTGTTCTTGCAGTATCGGGGCTGTGATACCTTACAGCTAATCATGTGAGGTCCTGCGCGTCGAGGCATTTAGTTCCACCCCCATTCCATTCTATTTCACGTATTCTCTACGCCTAGACCATTTCCATAGCGTCAGAACCATGATACTACTCATACAATCTTCTGGGAATAGATTCAGACAGGTACTACCGAAACACCTCGAGTCGCTCCATGCCGTTGCTATGTGCAAATTGGATATAAACCTATTGTTCCTCATTAATAGATTCCCTGAGAGCACGTCATCGGGTGGTACAAGGGGCTGGTGTTCTTCTGTACCATCGCCATATGGCGGTCAGAACGTTCGGAAATTCGACCATTTGTATCACCCTTCTTTGCATTTTCCTACAACATTCGCGCGAC